ATTCTGGTCAGATAAATAACATCTGTGTCACCTTAGTGTTGATGTCTGTTGATAGTCTTTTCTCATTCATGTTGGGAGCTTTCTGGTTCTTGGTATGACAAATGATTTTCAACCGAAGCCTGCCTATCTTGGGTATTATGAGAGTCTTGGTCTTACTTATATCTTTTGTTATAGCAGGCCTCTTCTGACACTGACTCTGCAGGGGAGGAGGAGCACTGCCTCATTACTGTCAGGATGGAGTGGAAGTCCAGGTTTTCTACTTGGCCTCCACTAACATCCCAATGGGAGGAAGGACTCCTTGTTATTGCTAGGCAGGAGTAGGAGTTTAGGCTCCTCACTAGGCTTCTGTTGATACCACTCTAGTTGGAAGGTGAAGGGTGTCTCATTACTGTTCCTTACATGGTCTCCTCTCCATTGACAACACAATGTGGTAGCCTTATTACCACTGAGTGATGGTGAAAGTCCTGTATTTCTACCAGGCCTCCTCTGACACTACTCCAGTTCTAAACTGGCATGGGAGGTCCAGGTGCTTCATGTGGTCTCCACTGATACCATAGGGAGTAGGGAAGAGTGTCTCATTACCACCAGGTGACGATGAAAGCCTGGTTCCTCACTTGGCCTTCTTGGCACCACCACATGGGGCAGAGGGAGGAGCACTCAGGTGCTTTGCTACAGACTAGCAAAGGTAGAAGTCTAGGCCCTCCACTCAGCCTTTGCTGGCAGGGGTTGAGGTGGGGCTACAATTTTTTCTGTGGTGTTTTGCTGAAGTAGAGAAGTTATTATCTAAAATTTTTGTGCGTCCTTAGACTGCTGCTTTCCAGGACCTTTGACTAGAGAGACCAGGCTTTTGTTCGGATCTCTTTTTGATTTGCACCTGTCAGTGTTCTTAGGTTGTTCACTTCTATACTACCCAATCTGGGAGATATGAGGCAAAAACAAAATCCAGGTGACTCATGGCTATGTCATTCCTCAGGTCTAAAGGTCCCTAGCTGGTCTCGTCTGCCTTCTTCCTTCCATATTTCAGAGTGAGTGTTCTTGTGCTGTTTCTATATATAATGCTCAGGGTTTCTAGCTGTACTCAGTAGAGGAATAATATATACATATTGAGAGCTATCAAATGTATTAATGCATGTGTACACATGTGTATATATATACATATATACTTGTTTTCTTTGCTGAAATGATAAACAAGAATTTATTGAAATGAGGATTGGAACTAGGGGTTGAGCATAGGTAAAGGGTAGAATTGTTTTTCATTTTTTCATTCTATACTTTTTCTATGGTTTGACATTTTTACCATCTACATGTATTGCTCATATTTTAAAAATTTAAAAATATGTAAAGTAGTAGATACTTTTCAGTCCTGTGTCCCATGGCTTGGGAAACTGGAACTACTCTCCACTCTTCCCTTCCTAAAACTCTCCTTTCCAGGAGTCCATGGCTCTCCTATCTCCTAGTTTTCCTGTCATTGACCATTCTTTCCAAGTCTGTTTTGTGGGCTCTCCTATTACCCCTTCAAATATTGGCACTCCCTAGATTTCAATCCTTGGTCTAACATTTATTCTCTTGCTACAAGTATCCCCTAGGCAAGAATATTATCTCACATGGTTTTAACAAACACCTCTATGTTGTTGAAGGTCAAGTCTATTTCTCTAATCCTGTTCTCTTCTCTGACCTCATATGTCTCATCATCATATCTTAACTTGTCCCAAACTGAACTCCTGCTCTTTTTCTTTCAAATCTGATCCTTCTCCAGCATTATCCATCTCAGTAAATGGCAACTTCATCCTTCCAGTTGCTCAGATAAAAAGCCTTGAAGTTGCCCATGACTCCTCTCTTTCGCCCACATTCCACATGATTTGTCAGCAAATCCTGTTGGCTCTGCCTTCAAAATATATTTAGAATCTGACCACTTCTCACCATCTCCACTGTTACCACCCTCATCTAAGGTACAACCACTTCTCAATTGCATTATTCAAAGAGCCTCCTAATTAGTCTCTTTGCTTCTACCCTTGTTCTATTACAGCTATTCTCCACACAGTATCCAGAATAGTCCTGTTAAACGTAAGTCAAATTATGCCATTTCTCTGGTCAAAAACCAGAGAAATCTATGTTACTCAGAAAGCAAAGTCAAAATCTTTCTGATGGATTCTAAGGCCCTGTAGGATCTACTCAGCTTTCCCTCTCCATTCCTCTCCAAACTTATTTTCTTCTATTTCTTCTTTTGCTTAATCCATTCTAGCCAATCTGGCCTCCTTGTTGTACCTTGAACATGATAGGTACACTTCTGCCTCAGGGATTTTGCACTTACCATTTCCTCAGCCTAGAATGCTTTTCCCCCTTGGATATCTGAATGAATCACTCCTTTATTCCCTATGGGTCTCTGCTCAAAGGTTATCTTCTCAATGAGGCCTTCCCTCACTGTATTTAAAATTGCAAAACCACTTCCCAACCCTTCCTATTCCCCTTCTGGGTTTATTTTTCTTCTTAATGCTCATTACCATCTAACACACTATATATTTTACTTATTTTGAATACTGTTTTTCTACTTTCTTTACAATATAAATTCTACAAGGGCTGTATCTCTAGTGCTTAAGACAGTACATAGCAAATAGTGGGTACTCAATACATATTTGTTGATGAATGAATCAACCAATTAATCAATAAATGATATCTGGGCTTTAGACCAAGGGTCAGGAAATTACAGCCCACAGGCCTGCTGCTTATTTTGGAAATAGTTTTATTGGAACATTCATTTGTTTACAAGTTGTCTATGAGTGCTTTCCTGGTACAAAGGTGGAACCAAGTAGTTATGACAGAGATCTATGACCTGCGAAGTCAAAAATATTTACTATATGCTTCTTAAGAAAACGTTTGCCAATCCCCGCTTTAGATTCATAGTAAATTAAGCTGCTTTCTAGATATTGCTCTCTAGATATTTCCCAGGAATCTCAAATCCAACCTCCCCAAACTGAACTTTTCTCCATCTCCCCAAAACTTTTCCACTCTATATTTCTTATATATATGAAGGACAGCCACATCCATCCAGTCAGCCGAATCAGAAATCCAGGATTCAGACATCTCCCTCTCCCACATTTTCCACTTCCAATCACCAAGTCCTACTGCATTTGCCTCCCTGTTCTTCCCACTGCCCTGATTCAGACTACAATTATTTATTGCTCAGGCTATGGCACTACCCTCTATCTTTGTGATCTATTTTGCATGTCATAGCCAAGATAATGTCTCCCGAATATAAGTCTATCCATCATACTGCTCTACTTTCAAACAATGCTTTCCCAAGCCTGCAGGAACAATTCCAAACATTCTAACTCCTCAACTAGGCAAAGTCTAGTCCTTTTAGTACCTGGCCCCTGTCTGCCTCCAGTCATCTCCTGCCACTCCTATTCCTATTTCGTGTTCCAACAATACCAAATGACTTGGGGTTTTAGGCCCTTTGGCCTTTGTCCACGCTAGGCCAACTCCTTGAAATTCCCTTTCCCTATTTCCCTTTCTTTCCACCCTCAGTATTGACATAGGTTGTATTTCTCTGCAAGTACCCATCCTTGATAATCTCAAAATGCCCTGTATTTACCAAATAATATCACTGTACCAAAATGATTGGTGAAGCAGCACTGTATAGTGATTAAGTACTTCAACTCTGAGCCAGGCTATTTGGACTTAAATCCCAGCTCTGTCACTAGCTAAATGGCCTTGGGCTTGTGACTGTCACATAGTGTATATTTATTATAATTTTCACATTTTAGCTTAAAAAATGGCTATCAGAGAAGTTAAGTTGTTTGATGTAACACAGGTAATATGGCAGAGAATGCCAGTTGTTTTCCAATATCCATTATCTCTTTCTTCTTTTAGTAAAAGAACTAAAGTCTTAGCTGGGCACATGGCTGCCCCAAATAGTAATTATACCTCTCTGCCTCTCTTATAGCTAGATATGACCCTGAGATTAAATTCTGACAAATGGTATGTAAATGAAAGTGATATGTGTGACTTCCAGGTCATGGTCTTAAAGGAAAGGGCTGCATCCTAACCATTTCCTTTTCTTTCATCCTTCTCAATTGATATAATGTAGAAGGTATTTAGTCATACAGATGAAGCAGTACCTTAAAGATGGCAGAACAACAAGAAATAAGGAACATGCGTTCCTGCTCCTGGCAAGTCAGCATACCAGCTCTGGACCACTCTGCTGGACTATTCCACAACCAAGAAATAAATCTCTCTTCTGTTGGAGCCACTGTGCTTTTGTATGTGGAGTCTTAGCAGCCTAACTTGTATCCTACCTAATACATCTAGTAAGCAGCACAGCTTGTAACTGAACTGTGGATACCACCTGGACAAGATCATCCCTTTGCAGAAAAGTTTTATTGAATTGTGGTCTGCTAGGATGGTATTAGCGGCTAGCAAGCCTAGAGTCAAATGTAGGGCAATCTGTAGCAAGTGTACGGGACTTGGCAATAAATATTTCTTGTCTAGCCTCATTCCTGGGTTCATTTTCTTATCCTTATTTTTCCTTTTTCATTTGACTTAATTATAATGTAAACTACCTCATATTTTATATACCATATAAAATATACCACCTTAGATTCTTTCAGAATGATATGACATTTAAATAAGTATAGGTATTGTTTTCTTTATAGTTTCACTGTACATACACTTTTGTGTACTTTTATATTTATCATTTATTTTCCTTTGTTTACATTGCTGTCTCCATATCACATTGTTAACTCCTTAAAGGCATGGATGGTGATTTTTTCTTCTATATCATCTAGCAAGGTGCCTGATAATAAAGTAGTTACAGGATCAAGCAATATTTGCTAAATGAATGAATCTCACAGGGTCAGAAATGCTATTAAATGTCATTACGTTATAATGGAATTTCTTTCCATTATCAACTTGAGCCAGGGAGGGAGACACAACTCTAAAATGTGGCTAGGACAAAGTGTCACACGTTTGGAGCAGTGATGGTGAGGAAAAGAAATACATACCTTGACGAAGTGCTCGATTAGGATTTCTACCACAATGTTTTGGAATTTGATGTTCATCATGGCAGCCACAGTGTCCTCCTGAGCTCTCATCAGAGTAGGCCCAAAGATCACCCCCATGTTGGAGGGAGTCATAAGATTCTCTTTGCTGTACTCACACACACTGCCAGAAGAGAAAGAAAATGATTAACAAGATTTTCTCCAAGATTCTCTTGTAACCAAGACTTTGTTAGGTGCTACAGGGGGTTAGACAAACTAAAAAGTAGAACGAAAAGAGAGGCCTAAAATAGATACGGGAAGAAAAGATTACAAAGGAAACAACTAGCAAAGAATACAAGACAGTATATAATTAGGGGCCAAAGTGAGACATAGCTAACTTACTTAGTGGCACTGTAGGAGTTAAGAGAAGGAGTTTGGGTCTATAGTTAGAAAGTATTTGGAAAGACAGGAGGGAAGCAAGATGACATTCCAGGCAAGAGGTACAGCATGTATAAACCATATATAAAGAAGAACAAAGCACATAGAGAAAGTGCCTACCAGTCTCTCCAGTCAGGAATCTAGCCCCTTCCCCACCCCCAGTTAAAGAAGCAAAAAAACTGAGAGAGCTGAAGGGGATCCTTAGGATTAGCTCTTTATCATCGTTCTCATTTTACAGATAAAAAAAAAACAAAGGTCCAAAGAAGGAAAGGGATTTGCCTGAAGTTGATGAGGATTATTTTAGGCTGGTTAATTTTAAAACTGTAGATGAGAAGCAGGCTCCCAGGAGCGAGTTTGCTTGCCCTTTGTTGGGAAACATTTGCATTTGTAAGGGAAACCTCCGTCTGTAAAGTTGCCTCCTCTCTGTGCCAGGAAGAAGGGACAGGACCTTATCTCTAGAAACTCTTAATCAATGCCAAAGGCAAGAACTTAAGTTGTTTACTGTCTGGCAACCTCATGTAACTGACCCCCACCCCAATATCCTCCTTTGTCTTTAGCTGAAAATAATATTTAAGCGGTGGCTTCTGCCATTTACTTAATCCGGTTTGATTCTTATCTAAAAGTTACAGGACCACCCAATAACCAGAACCCTAGTGGCACCCATACCGTTTTGACAATTCTTTTTACATATTCTTTCCTTTGTCTTGTAAAGAGATAACTCACATACCTATGCCTTAAATTTAGCCTTACTCTCCACCCAGGTTTCCAGCAGCAGCAGCTCCCCATGCCAGCAGCATCTCTGACTGCCCGTGGGTCCTGTCCCCATGCTATTCCAGCACCAGCTCTGCCTGCCTGTGGGTCCTGTCCCCATGCTATTCCACACTATTCTCTAAATAAAAGAGCACTACTGCCAGATCTTGAGAGTCCAGGAAATCTTTCTTTCGACTCCTTGGCTCACCAACCCCGCATCAAAGTCACAATCAGTTAGCCTGATTAGAGTAGGGTCTGCAATCTCAAATTTTCTGATCCCTAGTCACTCTCATTGCTTAAATTCCTTTAAGTGGCTCCCTATTACGTAGAGGACAGGGCCAATTCTCTTCAAAGTAGCAATTAAGGCCTTCTATAACATGATGCCTATTTCTAATCCCAATGCACAGCTTGAGTTCTGAAGCCAACCTGGGTTTTAATTCAACACCACCACTCCTTAGCTGTGCAACAGTGAGTGTTAGTGACCTAGCCTCTCTGAGCTTCAGTTTTCTCACTTGCAAAAATAGTATCCACTTCAGAGAGTTGTTGAATAAATAGAGTTAAATTTCTTTAGTATGACATCCTGGAAATACTCCATTACAAATATCCCCTGTTATTACATCTAGGCACTGCTGAACTCCAACACTCTTGATATACTACACTGGTTAGACCAAGTTTTCTGGCTAAACGATGTTTCAGACCTCCATAGTTTTGTTCATGCCATTCCCTCTGCTTAGAATGTCTCCTTATTTCTAAATCTAAAGAATGTCTATTTATCCTTTGAGATTCACTTTAGGTGACATCTCCTTCAGGACTATCACAGCCCACTGTCCTCATCTTGATTGACCCCACTGGCAAGGAGCATATATCGGAATTTTCTGTTTCTTGCCCACCTTTTCTGCTAGGTGGTAAACAACTTCCAAGTGTGTGTGCGCCTCGCACAGAGCAAGTACCAACTAATTATTTTTAATGGAACTGAGTGACTCTAGTGCTCTTTCAAATAGTACTGGAGGCAGCCAGGTAAAAGATGTGCAGCCCTTTGGTCAGTTTGGCTGTGGGGGTAGGGAGGTGAGGAGATGGGACAGCCCACCACAAACACTAATTTTCAAAACCTGTCCAGGTCAAGTCCCTAAGAGGCTGACTCCATCAACAGACAGGCTCTTGTCATTAAGTAGGTAACTGACAGGGACAGAATCTTTAGACAAATCCTAATGAAGTCTGTTAAGACCATGACAAAGTCTGAGCGCCATTCAGATGATAAGGAACAGCAACCATTCACAGGTTCTTGGTATTGCTGGGCTGGTGATGGGTCCCTTTTAACAGTTTAAATACTTCTGCAATTAACCCTTATTCTTTAATGATGGAATTTTTTCAGATGTTAAAATGGAAAAGCAACTCCAGGCTGCCACCAAGCGATCCAGATAGCTAAACCGTTAGTAACAAGGTAAGGAAGGACACTTGTGAGACAACAGCCTCCAGCATGTGTGAATGCTTATCTCCTTTCGTAAGCTTTGAAAGGAATTGACTTTGGTTGAATATGCCAGAGCTCACTTAATCCTCATAGCACCAAAAGACACAGTATTTTATCTCTGAAGCCTAGGTTCACAGAGGGTAAATCATTCAGTCAAGGTCACACAGTTTGTGAATACACGACAATATAGGGATTCAAACCCATATCTGTTGGGCTCCAAGTCTTACAGTCATCCCGTTGCATCTTACTGCCTGCTTGTCTACTTCCTTTCAAGAAATCAGAGCCCCTGTGGGGGCCCCTTTAAGCTAGAGCCACGTTCTATTTCTCAGAGGGAAGTTCCTGGTATCCTATTTTCCTTCTTGGCTTTCTTATGAGATTTGGAAGGTAATCTATTTTTGGGGAAATTTCTTTGCATTTGACATCTCTCCTTTTATTATACATTTTGAAAACCATTAAGAGGCAAAAGTCACACCCTAAACTGTAGATTAATAATGATAGAATAAAGGACAAGCAATACAGCTAATAAAGAGTGTTAATATATTGAGGTATTTGAGGAAGCCATTTTGGTTTAAAACTGATTTGGCCTGAACTTCTTTTTCCAGAAAGGCCTGACTTATGGTCTGTCAAGCATGCATTATACATCTACTTTAAACATTAAACAGCATCCCAAAGCAAAGAATGTTGCCTTTAAAGATAGGGATGAATGTCTCTCTCCCATATCAGCATTTCTTTGAAGATAAGCATTCCTTCCCAGGAACCCAGGGTCAGATTGACCTGCTGTGTAAACAGCAAAACATCTTGTGACTGTAGTAGGAAAAAAAGTACTCCTGTCATATTTGATGTATGTTCTGAAACAGTGTATAACCATGCTGTACACTTCACTTCTCTGGAGTACTTTCTTCCCTGGTGGAGATAGCGCTTCTGGGCTATACTCCTCAGATTGATTCATATATTAAACTAACATCATTTTTAACCTATAGATTAAAAATGTATGTATTGTGTATTTGCATCAACAGTATGATGAATGAAACCAAAAATACGGCATTGTGAGTAGTGAATTAGGTAGGAGTTTGTGATATGATTTGACAACAAATAATTCATAAGTTTGCTAGTACACATTGACTAGAGAAAATGGGTACAACTTCTTGAACATCAAAATTTAAAACAAAAGAATGGGTATCAGAGGGAAGTTGTAAAAAGCCTCTAGTTTAGGAAAAAAATAATTTGATTAGGTGGTTTACATCAGAGGTCATAAACTAAAATGCCTATAAAAATAGAACTACCTTATGATCCAGCAATCCCACTTCTGGGTATATATCCAAAGGAAATTAAATCAGTATCTCGAAGAGATATCTGCACTCCCATGTTCACTGCAGCATTATTCACAGTAGCCAAGATATGGAAACAACCTAAGTGTCCATAGACAGACAAATAGATAAATATATACACAGAATGGAATATTAATCAGCCTTAAAAAAAGGAAATCCTGCCATTTGCAACAATATGGATGAAACTGGAGGACGTTGTGTTAAGTGAAGCCAGACACAGAAAGACAAATACTGCATAATTTCACTTATATGTGGAATCCAAAATAATCAAACTCAGAAGCAGAGAGTAGAATAGTGGTTGCCAGGGGCTGAGGGAAGGGGAAATGGGGAGATGTTAGTCAAGAGGTACAAAGTTTCAGTTATGTAAAATAAGTTCTGGAGATCTAATGTACAGCGATGTGAATACAGCTAACAATACTGTATTGTATACTCGAAATTTCCTAAGAGGTTAGATCTTAAGTGTTCTCGCCACCAAAAAAGAACAAAAATGGTAACTATGTGAAGTGATAGGTATATTAATTAGCTTTATGTTGCGATTATGGCACAATGTTTATGTACACCAAAAATTGTCACACACCCTAAATATATATAATTTTTGTCAATTATACCTCAATAAACAGGGAAAAATAAAAATAAAAACTGAATAAGTTAATTAAAACTGGTTCCATCAATAACATGCTGTGTGACTTTGAGCCTATTTTTTCCATCCCTAGGTATCTGTTCCCTCATCTATAAAATGAGATTATTAAGTCATCTAAAGCATCTTCCAGCTCTGCTATTCAATGAATCTAAGAAAGTCCTTCTCTTGAAAATAATGGGAAAAAGAGACAACCATACAGTATGTGTCTACTGTGAAGAACACAGAACCATCTATTAAGTATGCTTGCCCTCTCCACTCTACACACCAAAAGAAAACCCCAAAACCAAAACCAAAACCAAAAACATCCCCCAAAACAAAAAAAGAACTGGAATCAGAGGGAGCCCCTTAATCCAACTATGTTAAACTTTAAAGGACAAATGACCTGTTTTCATTAACAAATAAATGACAGGAAAAAAGAAAGAGATGAAGGGGAAACCTATAGATTGAGAAGATGGTAAAAACATAGAGGCACTATCAAATATTGTATCAAGCCTTGGCCTCTGTGTTTTTATTAGCCCTCCAAGTGATTCTGATACATGTAAAAGTTTGAGAACTACTAC